GGAGGGGACAGACTCCGCCGCGGGCCCCCTTCCGTCGCTCCTCCTCTGGCGGGAGAGGGAGGCAGGGAAGGGCTCAGTTTTCGATACCTAAAGGAAGTGGAGTCAGAAGAGAAAACGTGAAAAGCCCCAGAGGGTGCTGGGTGGTGTGGGTGGATGGAAAAGAACACGTGCAAGCGTGTCCTACTTCCATTTGTCGAATTCTGTCCCAGAATCAACTCTGATTGCCTCTAATCATTAACTGTAAGGTTAGAAATAATTAACCGGTAAAAAATATATATATTTGCATTTGACAAGCATGTTTAAGCTGTTTTATCGCACCTCGATATCTTTTAAGACCGAGGTGATGACAGCAAGTCTTGGAAATGGAGGTGTGAGCTTCTGTCTTTGGGGACACAAACCTACATTTTCTGCTTCATGCAGGAGTGATGCTGTCCTGAAGGTGTGTAGGTTTTTTTGTTTGTTTATTTGTTATGGACAAATAAGGCGGTGACTATTCTCTGCTGGTTAACATACCCGGTTTGGGAGGAAGTAATCCTAGTTTTGATTTTCACTCTGCAGGTTATTTTTTAATTTTTTACATGACACCTGGATTGGTTTGTTATCATTCTGGATAGTTCAGCATCAGCCGTGACATCAAAAAGGTTGATACAAATTTTGTCATTCTCAACAGCATGTCAGTACAAATGCAGAAATTTCAACTACCTTTAAAAGAAAACTTCTTTGTAATATCAGTCACTGAAATCTGCATCCAGAAGGAGACTTCTGTGCCAGCAGTAGTCTTTGAATGGAACTTAAATCCTAAAAGCTCCTGTTCGTTTGCCACTATTCTTGGAGTCGTCTAATTGTGATAAACATCTCGATTTTCAGTATTGAAATTCTCTGTACGTATGTATCTGTGTGCTAAGAGGAAGCAGGGAGCAGCAGTACGTCATCTGCGTTCCTGCCTCAAGGTTTGGGGTTTCAGTAAAAACATCAGGCACCAGGCAGATAAGGAAACAGCTTTGAGGTACATGAATTCTTTATCAGTATGAAAGTAAGCTGGATATGTAGTACTACCTAGTATTACAGTCTGCTAAATTCTTTTTGATCAGTTGCTCCTTTCTTTGTCTCTAATCTCTCCCACGTTTGTGCACTCCAGAAGAAAACAACATGATAATCTATAGAAGCTGCTAGGAACAGTGGTTTATATCCATAAGCTATATGTATACCCTTAGCTTCCCTATTTTAATCTTCCTTTGATTGTGTCTTAGTGATCAGAGTAATTTAATTTCTCTTTTCAGCTGAAGGATTTTGCATGTAATGACCCTTCTCACACATACAGTTGCCCAGTGATCCTAAATTTGACAGTCAGTAATTTAGACAAAAGATTGTGTTACAAAGATTGGATAAGTTTTGACTACTGTTATAACTTTTAATTGCCTTATATGCTATCTAACATATAGGGGAGTATTAAGAAAAATGAATTGTTTTCTATTGCTGAGTCTAATTTGTGATAATAATGAGAAATTTTGTAACACTTTATTAAATATGTATTAAAATGTAGAAGAAGAGGAAAGATAAAACTTATAAAAATCATAAAATAAAAAGGGATGCAGGTGCACTGCACACTGAAAATGACCTACAAAACAAGCTGCAGTAATAGCGAAAAAAGCTTGTTCTCCTGTTATAACTAACTGAACTCATGGCTAGTTAGTAAAAACAAGTTTTGTCCCGAGAAGATCAGTCAGACTTCATATGAGCCTGAAGTTGTACAGTTTTACTTTAAGATTTGATTTTACATGGATTTGACTGCACTGGTCAGTCAGAATGACTCCTGAAAAGTCATTCTTTCTTTGATTTAAATTTAACTGATTTTAAATCAAATTTGATTTTAATACAGTATATGTCAGCCTAGCTTGTGCTAGGCAATGTATGCCTTTAAACTGATATTTGATCCACATGAGGAGTTACTGAGCTAAATGTTTGATATATCAGTTTTAATTAAGGTGTTACAACTTCTTTATGCTGCGGAGGCCTTAGAAATAATATTATTCTATAATAACATGTCTTATCAAACATCAGAAATCCTTCTACTGCCTATAAAATGTTAAGTAATGCAACAGCCTTTGAAACTATTCAAATACCACATCACCAAAAGATTTTCTTTGACTGAACATATACTGAAGATAGTACTGCTTGCTAGTGCAACATAGCCTATCTGGACCAAAAGGAGCATTCATTGTCTTGCTGTCGCCTGCAGATTTCAGACCCGTCATATGACTCTTGGGCCCTCATTATTCTGATCGTAAAAGATGTCGTGACTAAAGAGAGGACTCTAAATGCTATTGTTACTTTGTCCAGTCATGGTGCAGTTCTGAAAACCACTTGGACTGTAACATATAAATACTGTCATACCTGCATTCCCTTTTTGTCTTCTTTTTTTTTCCTTAGTTGTGTATCTTCTTTTTACTTTTAGATGTTAACTTACAGTTTAAAATCAGTCTATCTTAGCTGACCTTTTTGCTGCACTGCAACGAGCCTGTGTCCAAAAAGGCAGTTAAAAGCAATGTCTTAAACAGCTCAGTGCTGATATGTTTGCCAAGTCTCATACTGGCTGATAAAACTGTGTGGAGCCTGTTTTCCTCTTAGCAGTCAGGTTGCCAGTAACAGTCAGGATCAGAAACAAAAGCTGCATTTTCAATCACTGCTGTTCTCTTTTGCTTTCTATTTTATCTCTGTGTTTATCTTGTTTTCTCTTTATGGAAACGAGGCCAGACTCCAGTATGGAGATTTATCAACAACCACATGTCCAGTGCCTCTCAGCTGGTATTTTCTTGTATTCCAAAACACAGTTGTTGCCATCCTCAATCCAGATTTGTCAATTATTGTCATATGTTGGATAGCAGCCTCATACAACTGCCCATTCATGCTCCTTTGTGGCAGCTGCAGCTCATTCATTCAGAAGGCAGCTTCCATCTAGCATTAAGATCCTGGAAGTCTTAACTGTGATCAAATGCACTGCATTGATGTAGGATGGAAGAGTGACCGTGGCACTATGCTGGAGCAGGAGATATACTCAGTAACAGGACTGTGCCCTCAAAGGACTCTGTACTTTTGGAGCGGCATCCATCCCAGATTTTTCATCATACAACTCTTGCTCTGTATAAAAAAAGAAATGAAGAGGTCTGTCAATGCTATTAAGACTCAAAACTCATACAAATGTCCCACAGTTACAAAAAAGGGTATAAGAGAGACAATGAAAGTTAAAGTCATACTCAGAAGTTTGTTTTTCAAATATTTTAGCCATCTTCATTTTTCAGAGCTACGCTATTTTTAATAATAGTTGTTGCTGTAGTACTTAGCAAGCTGAAGGATCTGTATTCAGACTCTGAATTTAATTTAAAATTATATGGTAATAGGCTTGTTTCAGCATCCTTTGCTCTCATCCCAAATAGAAACTAATCATAGCGTTTTTGGTCAGTGAGAATTAAGCATCTAAATGCCATTGAGAGTCTCAATCTGTGGACATAAATATGGAATTCTCTTAGGCTAGTTTTACGGAAACAGTTTTTTGAGAGAGCCATAATTCAATTACATATGAAAACGGTCAGTGTAAGGGATTAGTTTAAGACTATTATTAACAGTAGTAAAAGCTCATTTGGTTAGAAATGTGAAAGGAATTAAATTTTTACTCTCAAGTAAAAGTCTGATTTGAGCAGATATAGGATGCTAAACTGAAAAATACTGCTTTTTCGGACAAAGACATTGGCCAAAAAAGGTATGTATTTCTGTCATGTATCAGACATCCCTGTATCACTGGTTTTGTTTATTAAAAAAAGTATCAAATACTAAAAATCCACCAGATGGCACGCTGGAGCCTTGATACTGAAAGATGCAGTCATCCAAGAGAAAGCTGGTAACTGCATAGCAGGCTAAAATTTAATCTGTATTACAGTACACAGACTGTGCTTTGTTTTGTCAGTGACTACTATGTCAATTTTTAATAGGTAGGAAATAACTTAGAGAAATATTAAGAAAGAAATGGAATAAGTCAACAGTTAGGTTAATTTTTTTCAGCTAATAGCTTTTCGTGACTTGTAGTAACGATTACAATGTTTGGGATGCCCTAACATTTGGACACTGACTGGATTTGGCTTTGGCCCTAGATTCTCCGAGTAGGTTTTTGCATCCCCAAGAAATGACTAATCTAGTTGGTGATCAGTATTACCTAAGGTGTGAATCACTTTTTGGAAATAAAACATCTTTTCTATAAATATATTATTGAACAATTGTATCCAAGAAGTTTGCAGTTTTTATAGCTTTGGAAATAAGACAACCTGCCTTACTATAGCTGATAGCTCTGATGCCCCTCTCCCGTCTTGCTAGTTCTTGAAGACAATTTTTTTTGAGCCGTAGTTTCAGTGGCTCAGAGACATAGTGATCTGTGGGGATCCGTTTGTATGATGCTGAATCTGTTCTCCCTGTTTCCAGCCAGAACTTAGTTCACTACAAAGATAATACGAAAACATGACTTTTTCCATGTAAACAAGTGGTTTACATGGAGAAACATGACTGGGGGGAAGCAGCCTATGCCACTAAAAAGAACAGTAAGGCTTTTCTACAGCATTGCAAATGATTCTGGCAAATTGTACTAACAAATGGGAAGGATGCATAGGTTGTAAATGGGGCAAATGAGGTGACTCTAAGCAATCTGGCTGTATTACATTGCAGTTTATACTCTGGAAAACCTCAAATAAGGATCCACAGGGGAGCCTCAAGGAGGCCTTTTTTTTTTCCTGAGGTTCAAAGATGTTACTGATTTTTGTCTTGTGACTGTGCTTTATGGTTTTGTTTTGAATCATATATAGACTCATTTGGATATCATCAAAAAGCTATTCTCATTGTATTTTCAACCTACAGGAATGAAACAATGCCCCATATCTGGTGGGAATTGCATTCTCATTTTGTAAACCAAAGTGGCTGAGTAAACATCAAAATATTTGGCTGTTTATTCTGAACAAAGTGTCCAAGAATATTGGCATTCCTTTGCTAGGAACATCCTTTGTTAAATCAAAGATAAGCTTTTAGTTATTTTGAATCAGAATATGGTATATAAACATTTTCAGAAATGATGGAGAAATCCTCTCTCAATTTCTCCTCGGAAACAAGCAGAAAAATGTCATCAGAGTAAGACAATTCCAGATCTATTATTTTCCTGCTACCCTTCTCAGGCAGCATGTACTGTGTCAGATACTCTTTAATGTCGTTAATTTTCTTAGAAGAGTTGAGCTTTTTTCCATATTTAACTGGCATTATCTACCTTCAGACAAATAAAGGGTAGTGGTCATTATTACAGGCTGATACTGAAGAGATTCATGTAACCACTTCCATTTTGACTACAGCAGCTCTAAACACTGATGCAAATGCATCCACAGCA